TTTACCAAACTGTGTGAGATATTGGGGAAGTTTGTCATGCCATTTCGATAAACTCAGACAGCTTTGTGAATTTTTGTATAGTAGCAATGATGGTGTTGATGATTTTAGGCCTACTTTTGCTTATTTGTTTATTTTTAGCAAGGGAACTCAGAGTGAGGTTTCTAGTATATCTGAAGAAAAAATTTTGATTCCGGAAGTGAAAACGAGGAAAGTGGAAAGTCTTCCAGGTATTATTTCGGCCGTAATAGTTACTTTTTTCTTCAAAATACTTTTCTGTCTGTTGGTTTACTTGCAGTTTTCTGTTTTGATATTACCTGATAGATTATTGGACGAATACACTTTAGAGAACGGTTTTACATTCACTTTATTCTAAATTCATTATTTTTTATTATACAGCTTTTTTCGGTTTGGGCATAAGATTTTTTTAACTGCATATGCCTTCCTTTTTGAAGCATTTATTCTGTTATTGAAAAGTCTTTCCTATTATTAACCCAAAATTGAAAAGTAAATTTGTTTCTAAGTTTTAATTTTTAGATTGTTATAATTCTTGTTTTAAAATGAGGAAAAACAGTATGCTGGGGATTTCGTTTAGATAACAAGTTCTTAACGAACTCCGTAAGTAGTGGGGGCGACTCTGAGTCGTCGAGGCTTGAGAAAAGTGGTAAAGTTAACGGGAAGAATGATGTCAGGGACAGTGATCTTATTTTGGCTGAAGGCGACAAGCCAGAGATTTCTTTGAAATGCCTATCCACTCCACACACTCCGTCAAATGTTTCGCTTAAATCTTTTGGAATAGGTACTTCTTAAAGTAGAGGTTTTTCGATCTCTTTCGGTTCAATCTCGCAAAGGTTTCTTTTCATTTGGTCAAGGGGTTGGATTTTGCATTTGGAATGTCTGCTTTTGCTGTTGTTTACACTGAAGTAATTTCTTGCTGTGTGAAGTCTTTTAGTTCCTCAGTTGCTTATACTATCCAGCTTCTGACTTTAACTCGCTGTACATTTCATGTCATATCTTGATAATTCAGATGCTTCAACCACGTCTTCTGAGCCTGTAAGCATTAGCCAATCGAAAAGTGGTGCCCTTCCAGTCTCTTCACTACCCGTTGTTGACATTAGGTAAAGCTTTTTCAATAATTGCTCGTCTCTTTGAACAGAAGTTTGAAAACTGTGTTTCTGTCTTATTTCCTGTAATTCTTTTTGAAAAGTAGAATTTTGTTGTCTTTTGAGTTACGCTTAATGTTCGCAGGGAAAGTTTGACTCCGAAAACCGTGGTGGATTCTGTGGGTTCGAAGTCATCGGGAGATCAAAAGGATTTGAGTCAACTTTCGCCGCCTGAGGTGGTCAGTGGTGAAGATCTATTAGGCTGGTGTCAGAGAGTCACGAAAGACTATTCTCTTTTGAAAATTACTGATTTCAGGTTTCTTTATAATTTTTTGAAAGTATTTAAGCGTATTAATTAGTTTACAATAGAACTGATCTTTTTTATTTTTGTAGAAAAAGATTGAGTGAAGGCTACCATTACACAAGTCGAGATTTTGGATATTTGAAAGTTTCCATTTCATGCATCGTTTTTCCACAACTTTTATCTATCTTTGTTCATTTTTCCAGGAGAAGTTTTCGTTCTGGTTTAGCATTTTGTGCAATAATTCATCGGTACAGGCCTGGTTTGATTGGTCGTTTTAATGAGCTCGACTTCACAGAAAGTGGTCGTAGGGAAAACTACCGTAAAGCTATCGCTGCTGCGAAAATTCTAAAAGCCCACAAGTGAGTTCTTCTTCAACAGGAAACAGTATAAAAAAAGAATGCACAGTACATATGACCTTCCAACAATACTGGCTCACTAATTCTGAAGAATTCAATTTTTTTTCTTTCTATAGTCAAAAAACGAGAGAATTATAGAGTTTTGCCCAATTTTCTTCTTTCATTCATTTGTTTTTTTTTCATTTAGGACCTTAGATTTAAATCATATGATGGTTTTGTCAGCGGAGGCTAACGAAGAAGATGTTCGTGCCTTCCTGTCTTCGCTGCGTGATGTTTTGGAAGGGAGTCAGTCATCTGATCGGTCGAAACCTTTGAAGCCTAACCATCGCAGATCAGACTCTTACAGTATTTCTGAATCTGAAGCTTTAGTAAGTTTTTAGGTTTAAATTTCATCCTCAGGATTGTTGGAGTTCTTGTATAATAATATAGAGTTCCAGCAGTTTAAATATTTTGTGGATTCTTCTCAGCTTCTAGAGCTGCGAAACGTTCTATAGTTTACACAGTGTAGAAAATTAAGCTTTCTTTGTTTTAATGAATTTTTTTGTTTTTTTTTTTTTTGGCATGCTAAGGCTCATTTCGTTTAACCGTTGCCATTTTTAAATTGATTATTCTTTGGTTGATCTGGACAAGTAGGAAAGATAGTGGAGTGTTGGAATATTTAGGTTTAACTCTTCGTTTGGAGAAAGAGGCTTTATTATTTTGTTCTGAAGTAGGAAATTATTATTTTTAATGCAATTTTTATAGGTAATGCAGCAACTGGAGAGATTGCGTAAAAAGAGGGAGGAAGAAGAAGCTATTGATTTTGCTGATGTTGCGGTTCGATTTTGGACCTGTTATTTCTTCAGGGGATGATTTGAGAAAAGAACTCGATCTTTATTTTATTCAATTTTTAGGGAGCATCGCAACTTTTGTCATCTGAAGTAGCATCTGGTAAAAGCAGTAACGACGCACCGGTTAAAGGCGCTAATGACGAGTTAGATAGAACCTGTAAACGCGAGTCAGATAAAGGCAGTAAAGATGAGTTGGGGTAAGTTCATTTTTTGCTAGGTTGTGTAAATATGTATTCTAGCTTTATTTGTGTCAAAATAACCTTTTTTATCTTTTTTTTTTCATAGATATTGTTTTTTTCTTTCAGTCACAGTGATACTCAGGATCACGTTCAAGCGTTCGGCAAGGGTTCTGACGAGGAAATATCGGTAAGAGAGGACACTGAAGACAGTTTTTGTGTCGCCGGCCTTGTGTCTCCTACTGTGGCTGCCCGTCACGAAGAGTTAAAAAAGAAACGTCAGATACTCAACAACTCTGGAGCCGAAATGCCTGAAACAGTATCTGATACGGAAAGAGCCAAGTAGTCATTCAGAAAGAACAATAATTTAATTTTAAAATGTTATTCTGAATACTCGCGTTCTTGCGTATTAAACATGTTCTTAAAGCTGTTCTGTTCGTTATTAATTCATAATTTGGAGCACTTTTTCTAAATGACTTTTTTGTGTTTTTGTCCAGTCGAGTTTTGAGGCACTTTTATCGTCAATTTTGCCAATTGCAGAAGACTCAGGCAGGAGGCGCGTCGTCTAATGGAAAATGCAGCTTTGGAAGGCAAGACAACTCTCCTTAGCTCTTCATTTCCTTGTCAAGCAGGTTTATATTTCTTGGTACGACAAATTCATAGCGGGCTTGATTCGAAATTTTGGTTAACATCTCTTATAAATTACATGTTAATGGAGTGGAGCTAGACGGGAATTTCGCTCGTTTTGGTTTTATGAAGCTTATTTGTTTGCTGGTTTAGGCATCGTTTTTCAGGGTTTTAAAACTACAGCAATGCTATGTTATTTGTTTCATCAACTTTTTCTTATAATGAGTCTCAAATATTTTTAAAAAATCTTGCGTTTTTTTCTGCAAAACTAGTGTAATCTCTTTTATGGTTGAACTAGTCAAAATTTTATCTCCAAATAGTTCTTTGTTCAGCTACTTTAAAGATTTTTTGTTAAACTTTGTTCAGAACACGACATTTTTCCGCCGAAGTAGACTTTCTGTTTCTGTCTTCATCGCTCCACTTTATTTTTGAGTAGGATTGTAATGAGGTTGTAGCGGAATATTGGTTGCTTTTACTAGAAATTTGTAAAGTACGTTGGACATCGTTTCAGAAAATTGTTTAAGGAGTTATAATTTTTGTTTATTTGTTTCCGCGGCTAGTTGTATACTGATCTTTAATTTCTTGCAGTTTCAAAACAAAAGGAGAGAAGGAGGGGTTAGGTTGTTTTCAGTTTAGTCATTTCTTCTGGTGAGCTACATTTAGTAAAAGTTAAATATTAAAAATAAGAATGTCGTTTTTATTTGTTTTGCTTGTTCTAATTGTGCTTGTGTGCAGTGCCATCTACGTCAAGTCAAGCTAACATTTCACTGCGGTCTTTCGAATCAATCGAGCCAAAGAATGATCTCCGTTGTTTAGGTCCGTTTTGTGTTGTGTTATTTTCAGCTTATCTCACGCCCAAGTTTAGTTGCCTACCAACATATGACGAATTCATTCTCTGCGTAATGTGGGTATCGAAACCAATTACCTGATAAAAAAAAATTACAGTTTCACTTGAATTTATTTCTTTTTAACAACTAAAGTTGGTGGAAAACTTTGATGGGACAAGTATCAGTTTTTTGCGTACAGCATAGTTCATATTTTCCTTCATTATATTGGCTGCCAAAGCAGCAGGTTGCCAGAGTGGTCCAAAAGCGCTTTTCGCGGTGAGGCCAATAAATCCTTAGTTATCATTTACTGTTCCTTTTCCTGCTGAAAAAGTTTTCTTAATTGGGACATCAGTGTTTTTTCTTTTGCATTATTTTGTGGTTTTGCTTTCTACAGAATAATTTGCTTTTTGCTAGTTCCTTCAGTTTTTCAAAATTTTTCACGTTATGCTTTGGTTATTGCATGTTTGTGGTGCACTTGTGTATGTTGTAGAAGTGGTTACACCTCCCGTGAACATTTATAACTTCAAAAAAGTTCAACCCTCCCCAATTGTTCAA